TACCTGAAGGCGGCCATTGCCTGCTGAGCCTGGACACCGCGCGGTTGAACATCTCTCGCAGGCAGTTGCAGACCCGCGTCGAGGAGGAGCCAGAGGCGAGGTCCCCCCTCACGGGGACTCACTCGCGGCCCGCGCCTGCCCGCCCAGCCTCCTTGGGAGGCGCTTTGTGCGCCACTTTGCGCGCTCTCCCTTTGGCGCTAGGCACGTCAGCTCGCTTTAAGCCCGGGGACACCCCTGAAGAGAGTCTCGGGAGCTGCAGGTTGGCCCCGCCTTGAATTTGGCGGGAAGGAAAGCGGCGCTCGCAAATTGGGCGCTGCGGAGCTGGGGCCGGGCGGCTTCCTTCGCGGCCGGTGGGCGGGGCTTCTGGGGAAATTTCGGGGGGGGCGCAAGCCCCTCAGCCCCCCCGCAGATCTCAGCCCCCCCCCCCGCAGATTACGCCGGTGTAACCAAGTACCTGGAATTACTGCCTTTTCTTTTCCTTTGTCCACTCCTAGAGGTGTCACCATTAGCAAACATTATACCAATTGCTCAACACTTAATTCCATTCTTTTAGCCCATTGAGAAACTGGTAGCTTCTAGCATCTAGAATCGGACCTATGATTGTTTGGGGTCAGTCTGGATACTCACTGGTGTTCCCATGTACATAGCTTAATGTCCTGCTTGCTTGCATATTATCCCAAATGCTTTATCTTTATATTCTCACACTGGCTTTTTGTTCCCAAGCTGATTATAACACCTGCTAGCTATGAATCAACTATGCTATAAAGTCCTCCTCTGACATTCCCAGGATGGGGAGTAGTTGAAACAGGCTTGGTTGTCTATTGTTGATAATGCGCTTGGTACACTTTAATGAAATCCTCCTCCACAATGGCCAGGAGATTGTTCGCTTCTCTATAGAAATATTGATTTCTAAAAGCCCCTGCCTTCCCCTGGAATGTCTTGCTGGTAACAGGCTGTGCCTTATTTCCTGTTACAAGCCAAATGGTGGGCCCATGGCCTCAATTGCCATGCCATAAACCCACATTCTTCACACTTCCATGCTAGAAGCTAGGCCTTACATGAGTGTAGGCACATAGCCCATGAGGTACCTGGAAAGTAGGTCAATTGCTTGCAGGCGTGGCCTCCAAACTTATAACCAACCCAATGTTGCAGCTATGGCAACCAACCATTTGGACACACCTATGTCCACTCGCAGTTGGCTGCCTGGCCACAGTTGATTGTGACTGGAATGGGCCTATAACTGGTCATTCCCAATGGGAGAGAGCTCTGTTCTTTCTCTCTCTCTCTGCTGTTGTGTTCTTGCTCTCTGTTCCTGCTAGTGAGCTCTGCTTGTTTATTGCACCTGGACATGTGGTCCCTGGGAGAACAAAGAATTGCTTTGGGACTTAAAGCACATGGAGTGCAACGATGGGATTTCCCTTCAAAATCCCTTGGACTATTTGGACTGTAGATGTTCCTGACATGGTAAATATGAAGCACTATGTTTAGTTAAGGCAAACTGCCCTAACCTTTCTTATTTTGTAATCTCTTATGGTTTAATTGCAATGCTCTGTATTGAATAAAAATCATTTGTGTTTCTAAAATTGTCTTTGATGTTGTACCCAGGGCTATTTTGGGGCAGGAACGCACAGGAACGGAGTTCCGGCTGGCTCCCCAGTTGGCCACGCCCAGCAGGAACTCATTAGCATAATAGGCCACACCCAACAGCAGGAACTCATTAGGATTGGCTACATGAGGGGTGTGTGGCCTAACATGCAAAGGAGTTCCTGCTACAAAAAAAGGCCCTGGACCGTTTTGACAACAAACAAGGTAAACGGAATAAGAAGCAAAAGGTGGGTGTGGCTGGATGACCATACTTCTGGCAACATGGGGGTGCGGTCTAATGTGCTAATGAGCTGTGCTGTCAGGGGTGTGGCCCAATAGGCTAATGAGTTTCTGCTGTTGGGTGTGCCCTATTATGCTAATGAGTTCCTGCTGGGCTTTTTCTACAAAAAGAGCCCTGGCTTGTACCTGAATTCCAAGCCTAAAATCCAGTAGCCGAAACGCTCACCATATACACTACTATTGGAGAGCATTAGGTGTGCATCTCTGGGAATGAGGTGCTAATGTGTTAAGCCCTAGATGCTAGCTACGAGTCTGAACCTTGCTCTTAGGCTAGAAGGGGATTCTAGTTAAAAGAGGTTCTGGTGGCTTATTGTTCTGAAATCCAGAGGGGGTAGCCTACCTCTCTGGGTTATTGTTTAATGTATTGTAAAAGTATAGGATTCCCTCTCATTCCTGGACAGGCTTGAGGGGCAAAATCCTATACAGCTTCTCATGATGTCTTTTGGCCGGGCAGGAAGTCTGTTTGATGAACATTCTCACAGTATTAATTGTACTTTATTAACCAGTCTCTGTCACATGTAACTGTGACGTATGAATGTAGGCTGCACCAAAGTTCTCGTAAGAGCTAAACGTGTATTATCTGCCATTACTGTCAAAGCCTTTGATTCACCTGCAACTTTCCTGGTTGCTAATAAAATCCATAAACGGAGTTATCACGTCTGAGAGTTACTGCAGAGCAGCCCCGTAGCTATTGAATTCTTTGGGAGGGGGCCTCGGGGGGCCCACCAGCTAATGAAATGAAAGTACAGTGCAGGTGGTCAGTTGGAGCACTTTGGGGGCAGCTCTGGAGGGAGGGGCCCCAGAAGAAACACTAGGGGGCCAGGCCCCGTGGGCCCCATGTTAGCTACGGGCCAGCTGCAGAGTCTTACAGGGGGCTACATGCCTTGGCTCACGCCCCAAGCCCCTCTTAGGGTATATAAGGAGAGCATCTACCATTGTTCGCTCTCTCTGCCTAACCCCACCCTATCTCTCTGACTCCATTCATAAGCTTCCGTGTGCATGCATGTGCACTGAATAAAACTTTGTTGGTCTTAAAGGTGCCGCTGGACTCAAACCTTAAAAAGCCAGTCAGTCAAACAGTTTGTTGTATATAGCCATAAGCCATTACAAGCCGAGAAGCCACAAAATACAGTGATAAATAAAACCGTAAAACTAGAATATAAAATTTGTGATTAACGGACTACATTTTCAAGAAACCGCTCTCAACAATAACCTCTCGGACCTTAACTTCTTTGCTGCAGAGGCAAACAGAGAGATTCTGCAGGTTACATACGGATCATTATCGGGTAGCAGGAATACAATCTTGTGATCTACAGAATATGAGTTTACTATAGCAGATAGAATTCCTGCCAACGATTTAACCCTGGGGTAAGTATATAATGGGCAAAATAAGATTCAATAGGGTAAGTCCTCTGGTGTAAGTGATCCACAGACACATTGGTCCAATGTTATTTAAAGAAAGCCCTGAAGACCTCCATAGCTGCATGCATCAAGTTCTGGGAAAACCCTGAATGTACAGGAAGGGCATGAAGCACTATGCTGAGTTACTGAAAGAATGGCATATGTTTTTTTAAAATTAAATAAATGTTGAAAAGCCTATATGTTGTCGAAGGCTTTCGTGGCCGGAGTTCATCAGCTGTTGTAGATTTTCCGGGCTGTATGACCGTGGTCTTGGCATTGTAGGACCTGCCATTTTGCCAGCAGCTGTGACTGGCATCCTCAGAGGTATAACACAGAAAGATGGAGTACTCTCTGTGTCATGGTGAGAAGAAAGAATGGTAGGCAGTAAATTTATATCTACTCAGGAAGGTGGGGTAGGGCTGAGTCGTTATCTTGTGTAGGAGCTCCCCAGGCTGTGGCATTGCTAATGGAGGCGCTTTCCTGAGGAGGCTCTTTTGCATATGGATTGGCTGTTGAAATTCTAATCTTTTCTGTAGTGATGCTTTTGTAAAATGTAAATTATTTTGTGTTTTTCAGGACAGGAAACCATGCCCTAATTTATTTTTAAATTCTCTTCCTCCCTGTTGAAACTGTGTTTATGTTTATGAATTTCAATGGCTCACCTGTGTAATCTGACATGGTAATTAGATCAACCACTGCTAATTTTTCAGATTGGCCCAGTCTGCAGTGTCTTTCATGTTCTTTTATTCTTGTCTGAATGCTACGCTGTGTGGTCCTGATTTAAACCTGTCCACAACTGCATGGTATGCGCTATACTCCTGCAGAAGTAAGGGGGTCTCTTCTGTATTTTGCCAATCGTAGCATCTGTTGTATTTTTCTGGTGGGTCTGAATACTGTTTGAAAAGCCTGCTGCTTTTGGTGTCTGAAAATATGCTCTAGCCCCTAATCCTTGCTGGGTTAGGTCCTTCTGCCCAAGTATTCTGCCGTTTGAGACCCAGCTTGATGTAAGTGGATAGAGTGCTGGACTAGGAGCTGGGAGATCCAGGTTCAAGTCCCTGCTCTGCCATAGAAGCTTGCTGGGTGACCTTGGGCCCGTCACAAGCTCTCGGCTTAACCTACCTCACCGGGTTGTTGTGTGGGTAAAGTGGAGGAGAGGAGAATGATGTAAGCCACTGTGGGTACAAATGAAGTTAAAGGTAAAGGTAAAGGTCTCCCTTGCTCGAAAGCCAGTCAAGTCCTACTCTAGGGTTGCAGTGCTCATCTCCGTTTCAAAGCCGAAGAGCCAGCGCTGTCTGAAGATGTTTCCGTGGTCATGTGGCCGGTATGACTAAACACCGAGGCGCATGGAACGCTGTTACCTTCCCATTGAAGTGGTACCTATTTATCTACTTGCAATTTCTTGCTTTCGAACTGCTAGGTTGGCAGGAGCTGGAACTAGAACTAGAGACGGGAGCTCACTCCGTCACGCGGCAACTCGGGTCTCGAACTGCTAAACTACCGACCTTCCACAGCCTGCAGTTCAGCGTCTTAACCACTTGAGCCACTGCTTAACACAAATGAAGTTAGTTAAGTAGATAAAATACATATTTGTGCTTCTCACCTCTGCTGACTCAATGCCACACTTCTCCAGAGAAGCAGAGAACAGGCAAGGGAGAAAGGTGACCTTACGAATATTTTCAGTATTTGTGCCACAAGTACTACAGTAGCACAAGTGGTGTCCTATACTCAAATTCTCTCTCTACCCTCAAAATCGAACCTCGTCACAGCAGGACTATCCCATGCTCTTCTTTGCTCCAACCGCTGAGCAATCCTATCCAAGAGGTCTCTCTGTAGGATCACAGAAGCTCAACATGGTTTGCTCGGACTTCTTGACTTACAGTGATCCCCCCAAAACTGCTGAGGATTGAAGTCCTGACATAAAACCTTCCCTGCGCCGTGCTACAGAGCGGGGGGTCGCCATTCTGACATCAGCCAAATATGCAAGGAACGTCACTTGTCAACCGTGTGTGAGCACTGTCACGATGTGAGCCGTGTTCTGGCGTAACCAGTGTCTGGAAGAGTTGTGCTAACGCTCAGGACGGGGAGATTTAATCCTGGCGCAAACTGAGCCGGTCATATGCTAGTTCCATCTTCAGACATCTTTCCCACTGTAATATACCCAGTTCAGACCGCGTGGCCAGCTTCGGCCCCACGCGGTCAAGCGCAAACGTCGAGCTTCGCTCAAAAAGACAATGGACTATGCGGATCCTAGCCCGCGCCAATCAGTGGGCTAGGTTCCCGGCCGAGAGCCTATGGAACTCTCGGCCACTGTAAATAACCTATTGGGAAGTGGGGGGGGGGGGGTTTATGGGTGGCGGTTTCACGGGGAATATAAGCCGGCCTGCGAGCCGGCTAAAGTCGTCTTGTTCCTGATCTAATAAAGTACGCTGAGCTGAAATCGCTCTCTGTCTGCGTACTTTTCACCCACTGATCCCGGAGCGGCAGCATTCCCAGTTTCTTGTACTTACACGGCAGGATATCGCGGTATCTGTTCTTCTCCCGGTTCTCTGGCGCTTTGCCTATCAGGCAATCGTCCGTCGGTTTGATGTGTTCTAGGTCCTAAAACGAAACATAAAACCTTCAGTGTGTTTGATTTGCAAAGCTGGTGACGCGCCGCTTTCACGTAGAGAAGGAATGAGTCTAGTGGTGTATTGTGTCTGTGACTGTCGTATGCATGCTCTCACCTCCGTACACTGTCTTTCTCTGGGAAATAAACCGGGGCACCTCAACATGCAAAGTCCATGGCTCCACCACTGAGCTGTGGCCCCTCCCCGGTCTGATATGCTGCTAGGGTTGCCAACTCCAGGGTGGGAAATTCCTGGAGATTTGGGTGTGCAATCTGGGCAGGGCAAGGTGGACCTCATTAGGGTATAATGGCATAGAGTTTGCCCTCCAGAGCAGCCATTTCTCTCCCATGGAATTAATCTCAGTCGCCTGGGGATGAGTTGCAATTCCAGATCTCCAGGCCCCACCTGGAGGTTGGTAAGCCTATATGCAGAAGATCTCCAGGGGCCCCCCCAGGCCCCCAGGAGATCTCCAGGTCCCCCCCCAAAAAACCCTTCTAAATGTCATCTGAGCGCCAGAATATTTCTAGACTTTGGAAGCCGAACTTTTTTGCCTTTCTTCCTTAAACACGCTGCATTTTCCTCTTGTGAGTTCAAAGATCCACGATCTTTGCCCAAAAAAGTTGTTTTCAGACAACAGCATAGTCTTGCAAGGAACATATTTTGTGACGATGTGTGGGATGCAAGAAAAATCGCATGAAAATGCTAACACACAAGAGGACCCCACTCCAGTCTGCCACAGCTCCCCACCCCACCCCACCCCACATCCTCTGCATGTCCTCGCTTTTTCCTATTGCAGCCCCCCCACCCCCCGAAATGCTGGCTCTGGTTCCAGTTCCTTTTCTCTCCCCCTTTAATGCCTGTTCCAGGGGCTATTTAATTTCTGTGGCAATTCAGTATGTCATGCGAATGCTTGAGGTGTTTTATTTTTTGGCCCTCCAGAGGAACTGGCTGGCCGCTGGGTGAGACAGGAGGCTGGACTAGATGGACCCTCACTGGTCTGATCCAGCAGGGCTCTTCTGGTGTTCTTCTCAGGAGAAGGCCTTGGCCTCCCTGCCCTGTTGTTGGCCCTCCAGAGGAACTGGCTGGCCGCTGGGTGAGACAGGAGGCTGGACTAGATGGACCCTCACTGGTCTGATCCAGCAGGGCTCTTCTGGTGTTCTTCTCAGGAGAAGGCCTTGGCCTCCCTGCCCTGTTGTTGGCCCTCCAGAGGAACTGGCTGGCCGCTGGGTGAGACAGGAGGCTGGACTAGATGGACCCTCACTGGTCTGATCCAGCAGGGCTCTTCTGGTGTTCTTCTCAGGAGAAGGCCTTGGCCTCCCTGCCCTGTTGTTGGCCCTCCAGAGGAACTGGCTGGCCGCTGGGTGAGACAGGAGGCTGGACTAGATGGACCCTCACTGGTCTGATCCAGCAGGGCTCTTCTGGTGTTCTTCTCAGGAGAAGGCCTTGGCCTCCCTGCCCTGTTGTTGGCCCTCCAGAGGAACTGGCTGGCCACTGTGTGAGACGGGATGCTGGACTGGATGGACCCTCGCTGGTCTGACCCAGCAGGGCTATTCTTACGTTCCCATAAACCTCTGAATCCCTACTTCACACAGAGAGTGATTAACACGTGGAATTCACTGTCGGAGAATGTAATGATGGCCACAGGAATAAACAGGTTTCAAAGGGGATTAGATATATTTATGGAGGATAAGTCTATCAATGGCTACTAGCTGTGGTGGCTGAGGGGGGCCTCCATGTTCAGAGGCATGAAGCCTCTGAACCCCAGTGCCAGCAGGCAACCTCAGAGGAAGTCCTCGGCCTCTCTGCCCCGTTGCTGGCCCTCCAGAGGAACCGGCTGGCCACTGTGTGAGACGGGATGCTGGACTGGAGGGACCCTCACTGGTCTGATCCAGCAGGGCTCTTCTGATGTTCTTATCAGGGGGAAGGCCTCAGCCTCTCTGCCCTGTTGCTGGCCCTCCAGAGGAACCGGCTGGCCACTGTGTGAGACGGGATGCTGGACTGGAGGGACCCTCACTGGTCTGATCCAGCAGGGCTCTTCTGAGGTTTACTTCTTCAGCCTTGCAATTTAGTGACCCTGACAAACGTAGTCCCGTGACTTGCCTCCAGTCTGGGCAGCCTCCTGGAAGCACATCTCCCAGGATCTCTATTCAGTCACACTAGTAAGCTCTCAGAAGTCATGTCTGGAGCCCACCACTGTGCTCCCAGCAGCCATGCTGTCAGCTTCTTCTTCTTTTTTGCATTCAGGTCACCGCCAACTTATTTGTTGTTGTTGTTGTTGTTCAGTCGCACAGTCGAGTCCGACTCTTCGCGACCCCATTGACCAGATCACGCCAGGCCTTCCGGTCTTCTGCCGTCCTCTGAAGTTGGCTCAATTTCATGTTCGTTGCATCCATGACACTGTCTAACCATCTCATCCTTTGCCGTCCCCGTCTTCTTTGACCTTCAGTCTTTCCCAACATCAGGGTCTTCTCCAGTGAGTGCTCCCTTCTCATTGGGCGGCCAAAGTATTTGAGCTTCAGTTTCATTATCTGGCCTTCCAGGGAACAGTCAGGGTTGATTTCTTTTAGGATTTAACTGATTTGATCTCCTTGCAGTCCAAGGGACTCTCAAGAGTCTTCTCCAGCACCATAGTTCAAAAGAATCTATTCTTCGGTGCTCGGTCTTCCTTACAGACCAACTCTCGCAGCCATACATGACTACTGGGAATACCATTGCTTTGACATTGCGGACCTTTGTTCAGCCAACTTATAGCAACCCCCAAGGGGTTTTCAAGGCAAGAGACATTCGTAAGAAAATAAGAAGAGCCCTGCGGTGGTCCATCTAGTCCGGCGTCCTGTCCCACACAGTGGCCTACTGGTTCCTCTGGACAGCCAACAACAGGGCACAGAGGCCGAGGCCTTCCCCTGAGGTTGCCTCCTGGTTCTGGGATTCTGAGGGTTAGTGCCTCTGAATGTGGAGGTTCCCCTCAGCCCCCATGGCTAGCAGTCATTGATAGGCTTAAAAAGGTAAAGGTTCCTTTGCTCGAAAGCCTGTCGAGTCCGACTCTAGGGTTGCGGTGCTCATCTCCGTTTCCAAGCCGAAGAGCCAGCACTGTCCAAAGACGTTTTCGTGGTCATGTGGCCGGCGTGACTAAACACCAAGGCGCAGGGAACGCTGTTCCCTTCCCACCGAAGTGGTACCTATTTATCTACTCACAATTTCTTGCTTGCGAACTGCTAGGTTGGCAGGAGCTGGAACGAGAGACGGGAGCTCACTCCGTCACGCGGCACACCCGGGTCTCGAACTGTTGAACTACCGACCTTCCACAGCCTGCAGTTCAGCGTCTTCACCACTTGAGCCACCGCAGCTCCTTTATTGATAGGTTTACTCTCCGTTAATCTATCGAATCCCCTCTGAAAGCCATTTATTCCTGTGGCCATCACCACACCCTCTGGCAGTGAATTCCATATTCTCATCACTCAGAGAAACGGTTTGCCATGCGTGCCCTGCTGTCGCTTATAGAAGGATGTCAAAGGATTTCTGCTGGGAGCACAACAGTGAGTTCTCAGTACCCAGTTTGCCTCCTAGACAACCTTTGCCTAAGTCGCTAGATCACGTCTGGTGGACTTTAAGATTAAGAAACCCTGAGGGGTTTCCAAGGCGAGAGATGAACAGAGGTGCTTTGCCATCGCCCACCTCTGCGTTGTGACTCTGGACCTCCCTGGGGGTTTCCCATCCATCCAGGGCTATGGTTGCCAAGTCCGGGTTGGAAAATACCTGGAGACTTTGGGGGTGGAGCCAGGAGAGGGCGTGGTTTGGGGAGGGGAGGGGCCTCAGCATAGTACAATGCCACGGACTCCACCCTTCAAAGCAGCCATCTTCTCCAGGGGAGCTGATCTCTGTCGGCTGGGGATCAGTGGTAAAAGCGGGAGATCCCCAGGCCCCACCTGGAGGCTGGCAACCCTACTCCTGGCCACTGAAAGGGGGTGGGGGCAATGTTCCCTCTAAGCTGTGGAGTCTTATGAGCAAAAATTCCTCTTTGTGAGCTACTGGCATTAAAATTGTGAGCGAGCCTGTGACGACCCCTTAACTGGGGAGGTCTGGTTTTACTTTAAAATGTTCTTTTTTTTTTTTTTTTTTTTAAACAGTTTATATTTTTCCAAAAACTTACTATTTTTTCACATTTCCACCAAATGTGTAAGTACGATCCTCTATTATTTTTACATCTCCAACAGTTCCCTGGAGTATTTGTAAAACATTTTTGTAACCTATCCGGTGTCCAGTGCCACCTATAGATCATCTTCAAAATGTTTTCCTTATAGGATACTGCTCTTAATAATTTAATTGTTTTCCAGGACTTTTCCCAGTCTTCTCTCTCTATCTTATGACCTAAATCTTTTTCCCATTTAATCATAAATGGTTTGACCCCGTCTTTATTTAGGTCATCTTCTAATAGTAGGTTATATATTTTCCCAATCTGTTTTTCTGGTTCATATAGCCATATTTTATCCAATAGTGTCTTTTCAGCATAGAAACCTGTTTTTTTATCTTTTGTGTATCTTGAGATCAGTTGGTTCTTTTCCCATATTGATAGATTCATATTTAGACCCTGTAGTACTTCCCATGATTTGAGTTCATTTTTTTCATCTAATAGCTGGGAGTACGTTATATATTTCCCTGCAGACATTAAGGTTGGTAGTACAAAGGCTTCAATGGGAGATATCCACTTTGGTATTTTTTCGTAATTTTTCCATCTAATCTGCCTCCACACTTGCATTAGAGGGCCCCTTACTGTATGGTTAGAGAAGCTCTTCTGTATCCTATCTTTGCCATACCACACATAGGCATGCCAGCCCATGTGTAGATCATAGCCTTCAAGTTTCAACACTCTTTTGTCCTCTAATAATGCCCAGTCTTTTATCCAACTTAGTGCTGCCGCCTGGTAATACAAAGACCAGTCCGGTAAATTCAATCCAGCTCTCGTTTTCTTTTCTCTTAAGAACTTTAGCTTTATTCTGGCTTTCTTCCCTTGCCAGATAAATCTTCTAGTCATTTTGTTTAGTTCTTCATGAAATTTTTTGTTTTTAAGAATAGGGATGCATTGTATTATAAATATAATACGCGGTAGCACATTCATCTTGATTTGTTTTGTTTTACTCTGTATATCCGGCTGCCACCAGGAAATTTTAAGGCTTTCCAAACCTTTATAATATAATATTTTTTTCTACTGGGTACTGGCTTTCAAGGGACTATGTGTTCCTCAGGATGTATTTATTTCAGAGCTGGTATACTTGAATGAAATAGGATTTATTTAAATAAAGCATAAATACGAGGGTAGAACCATGTAACTAGTAAAGTAGGTATAACACACAGTTTGCTCCCTACTGACAGGGATTTTTCATAGGTAACTTTGTAACACTTTTCCTTCAAGTCCATATAATCTTTACTGTTTCCTACACTCTCAGCTTTCAGCTTATAACTCCTATAACACAGAACTGAATCTCTCTCCTTTCACACACAAATATTTAACTCAGAACTCTTATATCATACAAGACTGCTTCACTCTTTTCATACACAGGACCAACTTATCCCACACAGGGATGTGTCTCCTTCTCTCAGAGACAGAACTTAACTGACTTCCACTGTCTTCATCAACTGTCTAAACTGTAACTCTTGACTGACACACATTTTCTAAAAACCCTCCCCTTTTCTGCCAATCACCAATCACACTCACTTGCCTGTTTCATCCACCCTAGACTATCTCTCACCGCCATGCAACCAAACTTTTAAAGACACACACACACACAGTTAAACATGAAATCATTACAGAGCCATTGGGCTACTGCATAAATTAGTTTGCTCTGGAGCCCTCCTCCCTGAGCTAAGACAAGAATCTGTGAGCTGGAAGCTAAAAAAACTGTGAGCTAGCTCACACGAACTCAGCTTAGAGGGAACACTGGTGGGGGGGCAGAGTTGCCAATTCCTGGTTGGGAAACTCCTGGAGATTTGGGGGCGGATGCTGGGGAGGACAATGGACCTCAGTTGGGCACGATGCTATCGGGTCCCCCCCTCCAAAGCATCCATTTTCTCTAGGGGAACTGATCTCTTTGCTCTGGAGATGAGGTGTCATTCCGGGGGGGTCCCCAGGCCCCACCTGGAGGCTGGCATCCCAGACCAGGGCTGACCCTGCTTAGCTTCCAAGATTTGATGAGATCGGGGTAGCCTGGGCCACCCAGGCCAGGGCAAGAGACAAAGAGGAGGAGAAGAAGAGGAGGAAGAGATTGGATTTATACCCCATGGCCCTTCACTACCCAAGGGAGTCTCAGAGCGGCTTACAGACTCCTTTCCCTTCCCCTCCCCACAACAGACACCCTGTGAGGTGGGTGGGGCTGAGAGAGCTCTGTCAGAAGCCGCTCTTTTTCAAGAACAGCTCTTATCAGAACTACGGCTTGCCCAAGGCCATCCAGCCAGGTGCAAGTGGAGGAGTGGGGAATCAAATCCGGTTCTCCCAGGTTGGAGTCCGCGCACTTAACCACTACACCAAACTGGCCAAGATTGAAAGGGAAAGAAGAAGAAGAAGAAGAAGAAGAAGAGATTGGATTTATACCCCACCCTTCACTACCCAAGGGAGTCTCAGAGCGGCTTACAGACTCCATTCCCTTCCCCTCCCCACAACAGACACCCTGTGAGGTAGGTGGGCCTGAGAGAGCTCTGATAGAAAGGCTCTTTTTCAAGGACAGCTCTTGTCAGAGCTACGGCTTGCCCAAGGTCATCCAGCCAGGTACAAGTGGAGGAGTGGGGAATCAAACCCGGTTCTCCCAGATTAGAGTCTGCGCACTTAACTACGACACCAGACTGTAGAGGTAGTTTCCCATTGCCTGTCTCTGCAGAGCGACCCTGGACTTCCTCGGTGGTCTCCCATCTGAGTACTTACCAGGGCCGACCCTGCTTAGCTTCCGAGATCTGAGGAGACCGGCCTAGCCGGAGCCACCTTGGCCAGGGCGGTCAGGGCGGGGGGAGACTTACGACAAACTCCTTCAGCATCTCTTCGTGTTCAATCTGTTTCTGAAGGTCCTGGATCAGACGATCGAGGTGGTGTTGCAGGCCGTGTCTTCTCCGCACCGGCTTTATCTCTGCCAGCTGCAGCAGCTGGTCTTCAGTGACCACATTCAAGCCTATGGAAGGGACCCAAAGAAACGGTCACTGAATCCAAATGGGAGAGGTTCAGCGGGCCGGGCTCTCTTGAGAAACGTGATTTCTTGATCCGATGCAATTTTAGAGACTGTTAGCTAGGCCTCAGCCTGGGCGAGGGTGGGCTGGGAAAGGGTGGCAGGCATGTAACGGTGGCGGGGCATTTCGGGGCCATGCCCCCTCACTGATTAGCCACACCCACTGCCACCGGCTGCTCCAGCACCTCACAGACCCCTGCCACCCGCCTGCCCGTCCTCTGTGTCGCGCTGGGAATGGCGGGCTGGGCACACCGTTCAAAGGGCAGCCAGGGGGGCTGGAGGCAGAGAGGGAGGAGAGGTGCATCCGTGCTGGCCGGCCCACCATACCCGCTCCCCCACGGCTGGAGGTGTGCTTTCCAAAGGGCAGCCGGTGGGCCGAAGGGGGGGGGAGGCAGGAGAGGCGCTGCCTCCCCGCCTGCTGGCTGCACCTGCTCCCGCGCGGCTGGAGCCCCAGGTGGAGGTGAGGGGTCAAGGCGGCCCTCCTCCTTCATCACTCCCCTGCCCCAGCGCCCCGGCCCCACCACCCAGAAATTTCTGGCCATGCCCCTGAAGGGTGGGGGCTCTGGCTGCAAGCCCTTGTAGTGGCTTTCAGAGGAGACAGGCACTTGGAGGCTTCGGTAGAAGTGGTGCCTCAACTGAGAAGCTAATGTATCCACCGATACCCTTAGGTTTCCAAGCGCACAACTGCAGTTGCACCGTGGGATACGTGAAGGACGTCTTCATCTGCATTTTTCATGGTGGTGCCCAGAGAGGCTGGCCTACCCACATGGGGCTTCCACAGTCTCCCTCGTGATTTTGAACATTGGAAGCCCCCCCCCCCAGTTTCATTTAGGATGTCAAGTGACCTATTTCCTCTCGAGAAGTTAAAGATGGCAGGAGGGACTCATTCTGCTCAGCATCTGTCCAGGGATCAGGGATCACTTCCTGCGGGGGCGCACAGGAGCGGAGCTCCGGCAGTAAGGAGCCCAGGGGGCGGGCACATGCAACAAGCCCCGCCCCCTGCTCCCAGCAGCCCTCAGCCGAGCCACGAGGAGCAAGAAGCAGCCAGGTAAGTTGCAGAGCCCTCCCCCCCGGCCCGCTTTCAGGTACAAGCTCTCCCTCCTTTGTGAGGGCAGATCTGTGTGTCCCCCCCCCCATAGCTAGCAACCAGTGGCACCTTTAAGACCAAGTTTTATTCAGGTACAAGCTCTCCCTCCTCTGTGAGGGCAGATCTGCACGTTCCCCCCCCCCAATAGAGTCCAGTGGAGCCTGAGCGGTGGGTGTTGCCTTCTGACACACTTCCGGTGACGTCAGGGGGTGTGGCATATGCGAATGAGTTATTCTAATGAGTTATGCTAATGAGCTCCTGCAGCTCTTTTTCTACGAAATGACCCCTGGTCCAGGGTCAGGAAGTTCTTCCTTGGTATGTTTGGCCTTCCCCTGCAGCACAGAAGCCTCAGACGAATTAGGCTGGCCTCAGTCCTCCGCCCTTCAGAAGCAAATGTCGCAAGCCTGTGGCCGTCGTTCTTTTATAGAGGAGTGTAACCGCAAGGACACCCAAAGGCCACAGGGAGATGTGTATTGACCGAGTGATTCGTGCATCGTTACCTCTGGGCATTGCAGACAGCCTCTGGGCGATGACTTCGTCTTCGCTTGCGCTCGGTGCCAGGATATGTTTTTCATTGACCTGCAGGCTTTAAAGAGAGAATGTTAATTCAATATGTCGTCGAAGGCTTGGACCACAGCCATACACCACCCAGAAGATCTACAACCGCTAATGTTAATTCACTCGACAACTCTGTTCTGGGCGCAGCCGCAGCCGCTAGCAGCGACACAACTTCAGCGTGATGCCACGGCTTCAGTGGGATCCCAAAACTTTAGTGTAATCCCTTTTAGGCATGAGAATGAAATGCCCTCTAAGCAAGTGTTGCCGCTTCCACTGCTGCCGAAGCGCCACGTGAGCCAAGCCATCCACCAACCTCAGGACCGAGGCAGTCGCTCGCAAGCAGGAATAGTCCCGGTGCAGTTCAGATTAACGTCTTGGCTTTACGGATCTGCCTGGGCTCCCAGGACACCCTGAACACGCCAAGCCTCCCGAGCCACTGTTCCCTCTAAGCTGAGTTCATGTGAGCCAGCTCACAGTTTTTTAGCCTCTGGCTCACATATTTTTTGTCTTCGCTCAGGAAGCATGGCTCCAGAGCAAACTAATTTCTGCAGCAGCCAAATCACTCACAACTTTAATGCCAGTAGTTTACAAAGTAGAATTTTTGCTCACAAGACTCCACAGCTTAGAGGGAACATTACTCCCGACACTGAACTCCCTGGATTCCTTACTTTTCATCAAGAAGTGTAACACTCTCACTCTCAGCCGGGTCTTCACAGGGACCTATCCTTCCTGGGTCACCGCTGGTGCCTCATATCTTGCATATCCCCCCCCCTTTATTAAGCCAATTACTCCAGTTATATCACTGTAAATTCCTCTCGCATCTGCTCATCTCATTTCATCCAGGTTTTATTAAAGGTAAAGGTAAAGGTTTCCCTTGCTCGAAAGCCAGTTGAATCCGACTCTAGGGGGCGGTGCTCATCGTTTCCAAGCCAAAGAGCCAGCGCTGTCTGAAGACGTTTCCGTGGTCATGTGGCTGGCATAACTAGATGCCGAGGTGCATGGAACATTGTTAAAGGAAGTACTTCTTCCCCCAAAGAGTGATTAACACATGGAATTCACTGCCACAGGAGGTGGCGGCAGCTACAAGCATGGACAGCTTCAAGAGGGAATTGGATAAGCATATGGAGCAGAGGTCCATCAGTGGCTATTAGCCACAAGGTATAGATAGGAACTCTCGGTCTGGGGCAAGTGATGCTCTGTATTCTTGGTGCTTGGGGGGGGCAACAGTGGGAGGGCTTCTAGTGTCCTGGCCCCACTGGTGGACCTCCTGATGGCACCTGGTATTTTTGGCCACTGTATGACAGAGTGTTGGACTAGGTGGGCCATTGGCCCGATCCAACATTGGCTTCTCTTATGTTCTTACTTTCCCACCGAAGCGGTACCTATTTATCTACTTGCAATTTCTTGCTTTCGGCTAGGTTGGTGGGAGCTGGGACGAGAGACGGGAGCTCATTCCGTCACGCGGCACTCGGGTCTCGAACTGCTGAACGACCGACTTTCCGGTCTGCAGTTCAGCGTCTTAACCTCTGAGCCACCAGGTTTTACACCTTGACTATTTAACAATGGTTGGGAGTGTCTCACGCCCATGCTGAGGGAACTGACTGCTCTTTGGACTGGATCTTGTTTAGAATTAGCCTCTCTTTGTAACATTTCCCCCTTTCTGTCTTCTATCTCTATCAGGACCTGATGGCTACACACTCTCATATATCTGATGAAGTGAGCAAAAGCTTCGGCTATAACCAAGCAGCTTCTTGTTCGGTTATACTGAGTCAGATCCTAGGTCTGTCAATGTCTACCATGGATGGTGCTTGCTCTCGAAGGTCTCGGGTAGCAGTCTTGCACATTACCAGCCATGTCGGAAAAACACAGGGACTTTGCATTACACATGTGATGGGAGTTTTGTGCCTCTCTGATACACGCTGGTTTCCCCCTCTTTCTGAGCAAAGCAGGCAGAGAAAAGTGGCTGTGAACGCTCACTCATCCCTGCTGTTTTTGGTCTTCGGACTGTCTCCTGGACCTGCTTTGCCTGCTGTTAAGGTAAAATCTTTCTGCCTAAGTTTGATTATTATTTTTTTGAGCCACAGAAGCGAAGCTAGGCTTGAGCTAGCCGCTGGAGCTGAAAGGCTATCAAAACTGGAAGGGCAGCTTCACTCTGTCCCAGGGCAGTCATACAAAATTTGCATAGCCCCGCCTGGAGGGAGAGGAGGAGAAGAAGAGGAGATTGGATTTATGCCCCGCCCTTCACTACCCAAAGGAGTCTCAGAGCGGCTTACAAACTCCTTTCCCTTCCCCTCCCCACAACGGACACCCTGTGAGGTAGGTGGGGCTGAGAGAGCTCTTGACAGAAACTGCTCTTTTTTCAAGAACAGCTCTTAGCACAACTACGGCTTGCCCAAGGTCATCCAGCAGGTGCAAGTGGAGGAGTGGGGACTCAAACCCGGTTCTCCCAGATTAGAAGAAGAAGAGGAGATTGGATTTATACCCCGCCCTTCACTACCCAAGGGAGTCTCAGAGCGGCTTACAAACTCCTTTCCCTTCCCCTCCCCACAACAGACACCCTGTGAGGTGGGTAGGGGCTGAGAGAGCTCTGACAGAAACTGCTCTTTTTCGAGAACAGCTGTGCTAGAACTATGGCTTGCCCAAGGTCATCCAGCAGGTGCAAGTGGAGGAGTGGGGAATCAAACCTGGTTCTCCCAGATTAGAGTCCGCGCACTTAAGCACGACACCAAACTGGTTAGGCATGACCTAACCAGTTTGGATGACTTCCTCCCACGGAAGGAGAACTTGTTCTCTACTGCTGCAATGGGCATGACCCATCATACACAGGAACACAGGAAGCTGCCTCAGACTGACTCAAGACCCCTGGTCTATTAAAGTAAGAATGGTCTCCTCAGACTGGCAAGAGGGTCTCGGGCTGGGGTCTTTCCCATCACCTACCCCCTGGTCCTTTTAACGGAAGATGCCGGGGACTGAACCTGGGACCTTCTGCGTGCCAAACAGACTCTCTGCCACTAAGCCAGGGTCTCAGGTCAAGGTCTTTCTTATCACCTACGGCCTGGTCCTTTTAACTGGAGATGCCGGGGATTGAACCTGGGACCTTCTGCGTGCTCCAATCTGCAACTCTCCCACCCCGGAGACCTTAGAGATGAGGCAGAGCCATCAGTAGAGGGTTCCCTCGCTACGGCTCTCCTGCCCTGAGCAGCTCCAGGGCTTTAGGAGGATCAAACGATTTCACAGATTTTATTGTGATACTCACCACAGCCACCTCTCAGCTCCCTGTTATGGAGGGAGAGGGGCGCTGAGCCCTGGCAGACCTAAGGCCCCTGAGCTAGTATAAGGAGAGGGATCACCAGACCCAAGACTCAGTGACTCATGGGTCAGTCCCTTTGCAAATCACACCACACCAGTTCTATTGCTTTTAGCCTTTTCTGGACTTGGATTCAGTGTAGGCAGCATTCCTTCCTGCCAGCATTCCTCAGCATTCCTCAACATTCCCGCACACCATTCCTCAACATGCCCAATGGTACTGTAACCACAGTACTGGTCTTAGATTCAGTGTGGGCAGCATTCCTCCCTGCCAGCATTCCTCAACATTCCTGCACACCATTCCTCAACATGCCCAATGGTACTGTAACCACAGTACTGGACTTAGATTCAGTGTGGGCAGCATTCCCTGCCAGCATTCCTCAACATTCCTGCACACCATTCCTCAAGATGCCCAACAGTACTAACCACAAGCACTTCCATTTTACTAAAAGATAAAGGAAGGGCTGACAACCATGTGTTGATGTGCAAAAACATGAATCACATTCACACACATGTACACACCACAGCCCCCCCCCCCCATTCTCTGCCTGTGTGGGAAAGGGGTTCAGGAGGATTGGGTCCATCCAAGTGTTGGAATGCTCTGCACAGAGGTGGTGTCTTCAGTCTTTGTTGGATGACTCCCAGAGAGACTTCTGGGCGGTCCCGTAGTCTCCAACAGGGAAAGCTCTGCTGTCTTTTACTGAAAAGCAGCCTCCCCCAATCACCCTTCTAGAAACAGAGGTAGCTCAGAGACCTCCATAGGCATAAACTGTTACTCAAAAAAACATACCTTAGGGGGCACCCAGATCTGTGAGGGGAGGCATTTGTATTATCTGATTCCTAGAAGAACAAACATGGTTAGTGAGTGACTGAAAGCCTATGGAAGGCACTTCCCAGATGTGTTTACAGGCCACCATGACGGGCCCTTCAGAACGTTCCCTCCAGCAGAAAGGAACTTTTATTGCTTATAACATTTTCCCCACCCTTTCTTCCAAGAGTTAAACAGGATGCACATGACCTGACCACACTCCTAGGAGGCCGATTAGGCAGAGAAGGAGTGGCTGAGCCAAGTCAGGGGTCATCTCCTGCGGGAGCGCACAGGAGCGGAGCTCCGGCAGTAAGGAGCTCGGGGGCGGGCACATGCAACAAGCCTCGCCCCCTGCTCCCAGCAGCCCTCAGTCAGGCCACGAGGAGCAAGAAGCAACCAGATAAATTGCAGAGCCCCCCATCCCCGCCTTCATGTACAAGCTCTCCCTCCTCTGCGAGGACAGATCTGCACGTTCCCCCCCCCCGATAGCTAGCAATCCAAAACACCGGTGGAGCCTGATCGGTGGGTGTTGCCTTCTGACACACTTCCGGTGATGTCAGGGGGTGTGGCCTATGCAAACGAGTTATGCTAATGAGCTATGCTAATGAGTTATGCTAATGAGTTATGCTAATGAGCTCCTGCACCTCTTTTTCTACAAAATGACCCTTGGCCAGGGTCACCTAGGGAGGTAAACATCAGAGTCTTCAACTTGGGTCTCCCAGGTCTGACATTGCTTGTGGACAGAGAGGGCTCTCCTGGGCTCACCGGGGCACAGCTAAAATTATGCACCCCACAGTATTTTTAAGAAATCTTATTCTTATTACTATTATTTAACATTGTTAAAATTGTGGTCGGGAATTGGTGAAGCGGAGCTAATGTTTAATTCTGGGCATGAGCCACTCAAAGGTGCCACTGGACTCAAAATCTGTTCTCTCTATTAGCCTCTCTTTGTAACGTTTCCCCCTTTCTGTCTTCTATCTCTATCAGGACCTGATGGCTACACACTCTCATATATCTGATGAAGTGAGCAAAAGCTTCGGCTATAACCAAGCAGCTTCTTGTTCGGTTATACTGAGTCAGATCCTAGGTCTGTCAATGTCTAGTTTTCCTCAATGTTCTGTGGGTGCTTTGCGTCAACCTTACTTTTGAATCTCGTGGCCACTTCTTGAACAGGGATGAAGAGTTTAATGCCATCATAAGTTCTATAAACTCCATACAGTGCTGTGTGACTGTCATGTGGAACCTCTGGCCTGCTCGTCGCTCAGCGAGTCAACCTGAGCTTGGGCTGTATCACATATCTAATATCCGAGCGTAGCCCCTGTGCGGATTTAAAAATCTACAAGCTGGGGACACAGGGCTAGAGGAGATATTTATGGAAATCAACGTTCCCTGTAAGCTGTGGAGTCTTCTGAGCAAAAACTTTACTTTGTGAGCTACTGCCATTAAAGTTGTGAGCAAGCAAATTTGGCTACTGCATAAATTAGTTTGCTCCGGAGCCCTCCTTCCTGATCTGAGACAAAAATGTGTGAGCCGGAGACCAAAAAACTGTGAGCTAGCTCACACTAACTCAGCTTAGAGGGAACCCTGATGGAAATCCAGGGAAATCTGGGGGGAAATAAAAAGTCCCCCAAATTTAGAAACTCTGTTTGCATGTGTGCAGTCTTCACAAACATAGGACAGTGCCTTCATAGCCAAGGCATTCTGACATTCTGTATGGTCAAGGCAACCTGTCGTAATAAGCTTCGGGGGGCCGCTTTGCCAAAGGCATGGAGGTGGTGGCAGCAGCAACAAGGAGGAGGGGAGGAGGGGAAAGGGGAGCAGAAATAGAGGCCCCGGGGAGGGAAAAGCAGGGAACGGAGCAGGGGGAAGGGGGACATCCCGGATCCAGAGCAGGGAAGACATGGGGGACAAGAGGAAATAGGCATGGAGAAAAGACTGGGTTGGTGGGTGGGGGAGAAAAAAGTCAGTAGCAAGATGGGTGCAGCTAGAGCAAGGGGAAGTTGCCAACCTCCAGGTGGAGCCTGGAGTCCTCCTAGAATGAGAACTGATCTCCAGACAACAATGGGGAGAAAATGGCTGCTTGGGAGGGTGGATTCAAGTGAGGGTTGCCAACTCTGGGATAGGAAATTCCTGGAGATTTGGGGGTGGAGGCTGGGAAGGGGAAGATTTCAGCCAGGTATATAATCTCCATAGAGTCCACCCTACCATTTCCAAGGGAGCTGATCTCTGTGGTCGGGAGGTAAGCTGTAATTCCAGCTCTCCAGGCACACCTGGAGGTTGGCAACCCTATGGAAGGGAGAGGAATTGGTGAAGCGGAGCTAGAGCAAGAGAATAGGAAGTGGGGAGGGACGGGGTTTTAGGCTTGCCAAGTCCCCCCGGGGGGCGGGGAAACCCCCGCCCCAGAGGCCCGTTCCCCGCCGCCGGTGGATCGGGACCCGGGGGGAACCCCCACCCCCAAAGTATGCGACGTGCACGTCACCCGGAAGTGATGCAACCATGCCGGGCACGCTGGGGGCGGGGCCACGGTCATCCGAGGGAAAAACCAATGGTTTTCCCTCGGATGGTCGTGGCCACTGTTCCCTCTAAGCTGTGGATTCTTGTGAGCAAAAATTCTACTTTCTGAGCAGCTGCCATTAAAGCTGTGAGCGAGCAAGTTGACTGCTGCATCAATTAGCTTGCTCTGGAGCCCTCCTCCCTGAGCTAAGACAAAAATCCGTGAGCCGGAGGCTAAAATTCTGTGAGCTAGCTCACACTAACTCAGCTTAGAGGGAACACGGGGTGCCTTCTGCATAAATCAGTTTCCTCTGGAGCCGTCTTTCCCTGAGCTGAGATAAAAATGTGTGAGCCAGAGGCTAAAAAACTGTGAGCTGGCTCACACCGACTCAGCTTAGAGGGAACACTGGTCGTGGCCCCGCCCCCAGTGTGCCCGGCATGGTCACGTCACTTCCGGGTGATGGGGTTGCGGTGCGCATTGTGTGCACGCGCTCCAGGAACAAGCCGGGAGCCCCCCCGCTCCAGCAGCAGGTAAGACTTGGCAACCCTACAGGGTTTCGTTTCCTGCACGAATCCTGTATAAAAGAAATTACTGGGTTCCGTTCCCAGTATATTGTTCCAAATAGGTTCTTATCTGTTGACCTGAGGGAGCTGCACTGGCTGCCCCTAGCATTCCGGATTCGCTTCAAGGTGCTGGTTTTGAGCTTTAAAGCCCTATATGGCCGGGGGCCTGCCTACCTGCCTTTCCCCACATGTTCCCCAGAGAGCACTGAGGTCGGGGACTTAAAATCGCCTGACAGTCCCTGGCCCCAAGTATGCCAGACTGGCTATCACCAGATCCAGGGCCTTCTCAGTGGCGGCTCCACACCGGTGAAACAAGCTCCCAAAGGACATCAGGGCCCTGCGGGACCTCTTACAGTTCCGCAGGGCCTGTAAAACGGAGCTCTTCCACCAGGCCTTCGATTAGGAGCCGCCACTGAACGAGCTACTGAACATCCATTACTGGCATTTTCTTTGGGATAGACATATGGGGCGAACTACAACGATCGCCATCTGCACTTTATTGTTTGCATGTAATTTACACTTTATATTGTATTGTTGAATTTTATCTGTTTTTATTGTAAATTGTTACTGTACGCCGCCTTGAGCCTGCTTGTCAGGCAAGGCGGGCTAGAAACAGAAATAAATAAGTAAATAAATATCAGATTGATTCTCAATCATCAGACATATTTTACTCCCAGACGAAGTGTGAGCATAAAACCAATGTCTTTAATGCTATTTAAAATTTTACTCTTTTTTAAAAAACACCCCTTCGTGGTCTGTCTTTCGCTTGCTTCCTGCGTGGTGCACCCCGCTAGGTGGTTTTTTTTGTGGTTGTGATAATGGCCAGTTGTGTTTGCCTTGTTTCAGGGGCCCACAAATAAGACCAAATCCACTCTTGGGATCTGTATTTAAAAACGACTCCACCAAGCCTGTACTGGAGAGGCACCGGCACTACATACTAGCCCGGCCGCACAGGAGACATTTCACTCACACACCCCACCTGGCTGTTCATCTGAGTGGATTCTTCAAGGCCTTGGAAAGCGAAGTCCAGCTGGGATCCTAGCACTCCCCCGCCACCATATCCATCTAGGCGCAAGAAGGAACAGTAAGTGAAGGAGCTGGCCTGTAGCTACAGCGGGGCATTTCGGGGCACCGCCCCCTCAAACAGGAAGCACGCCCCACAAAAGCTGCTGCCCCTCTCCCCCTTCACCCCTCCTCCCTTCCCTCCTGTGGCATTAAAAGAGCCCTCCAGCTGAGCCGTGGGAGCATGTGGCCTGCCAACCGGCTGGAGGGCCCTTTTAAATCTAGCAGCTGCCCCACTAGAAAAACAGCATTTAAAGGGAACCCTTTAAATGCTGTTTTCCTAGCTGGGGGGGGGGGATTTCTGGATTTCTAGCAGGGTGGTTGCCTGCACCTTATCTCCAAGCGGGGAATCTCCACTTGGAGATCAGGGAAGTCGTGCTGCCACCCCTCTCCCTCCTCCCCCTCCCTCCTCCCCTTCTCTTGCTGCCCCACCAACCCAAAATTTCTGGCTATGGGGCTGCAAACGAGCAACGGTCAATGAAATCTGGAATCCTAAACTCCTCTGTTTAGGATTTAACTGTGGAAATCCCTCCCCACTTATAAGGTATCTGGATGCAAGCGACAACTGGAAATGAAGGAGCATCCTGTGGTGTCAGTATGAAAAAAGAAGAGGAGGAGGAGGAGATTGGATTCATACCCCACCCTTCACTCCCCAAGGGAGTCTCAGAGCTGCTTACAAACTCCTTTCCCTTCCCCCTCCCCACAACAGACACCCGGTGAGGTAGGTGAGGCTGAGGGAGAGCTCTGACAGAAACTACTCTTTTGCAAGAACAGCTGTGCCAGAACTATGGCTTGCCCAAGGTCATTCAGCCAGGTGCAAGTGGAGGAGTGGGGAATCAACCCCGGTTCTGCCAGATTAGAGGCCGTGCACTTGACCACTACACCAAAAAAAAAAAAACCCTCGCTCCTCGGGAGCAGGCTGAATTTAGTGAAGGAGACGTTTTCTACCAAGAGAGACCAACAAGGGACACAAGCAACCTATTCACTGAGGTTTCCCCGATCCATGTTGACAAAGGAGCCTACGAGAAAGGGCAAAGAATATTACCCTGAATTTCCACTTGCTGAGGTGGGTAAATGGGGTAGGTTTGAACGACACCCATTCTTCTCGGATCTTCCCGGCTTCTACAGCATCTGGCAGGAAGGTCCAGCTTGTAATGCCCCACAGCCCCAAAGAGAGCCAGCCTAGTCCCCCAGAAAGCACTTAGTGCAACAGACCTCTTTCTTTGGCATGGGTGCAGGGCCCGGACCCGGTGGGGGCGGCTATCTTCTGTACCCCCACGGATTAGCCGGATGTGCCTTTCCCCCCACTACATCATCCTGGACAACGGCCTTTCTAACTGCCAGCCTCCCATAGAACCTTTTCCTTGAAGACTCTGTGATGTCACACAAGTTCTGGCTTACCCCTCCCGCTCAAAGATCACACGTGGCCGGAAGAGGACATTTCTTGGAAAACCCCAAAACTTAGACCAGTGTTTCTTTCAGGGTAACAACAACAGCATTAAATTAGCTCCCTGAGAAGGTTACAGGGTGTGGGTTTTGGTTTTACTTTAAAAAACAGTTAATATCCATAACTTCATTAGGTATTAAGGTAAAGGCTCCCTTGCTCGAAAGCCAGTCGAGTCCAACTCTAGGGTGGCGGTGCTCATCTCCGTTTCAAAGCCGAAGAGCCAGCGCTGTCCGAAGACGTTTCCGTGGTCATGTGGCCGGCATGACTAAGCACCAAGGCGCACGGAACGCTGTTCCCTTCCCACCAAAGTGGTACCTATTTATCTACTTGCAATTTCTTGCTTTCGAACGGCTAGGTTGGCAGGAGCTGGAACTGGAGACGGGAGCTCACTCCATCTTGCGGCACCCGGGTCTCGAACTGCTGAACTACAGACCTTCCACAGCCTGCAGTTCAGCGTCTTAACCACTTGAGCCACCACAGCTCCCATTAGGTATTGGATGTGGACTAATAAATTAAACTCAAAAGGAAAGGAGGTAGACACTTTAATTCAGAATACAAGGAAATACATCTGGAACTCGAGTTGTTCCCAGGACTTTCTAAGCTCATGTTACTCGAAGTGGCTCGGTGGTCTATGGTCTACGTTTGTATGCTGTGGCTGGATTTTAATTAATATTTCGTTTTCTATGACATTTTATTGTGTGAGCTGCCTCAGGCAGCTTTTTACAGGAAAGTGGCATATTATTTTTCTAAATAAATAAATAAGAAATTTCTTTCGTCTCCTGAGCAGTGTGTCTTTCACTTGCATTTGAACCGTACGCAGATCCAGTGTGTCTTGAATACATTGTCATGCCTCTTCATTCATTTATTTATTTATTTAAGTTTCAGCTTATATACCGCTCTAACCCCGAAGGGTCTCTGAGCGGTTTACAGATAATTTAATTTCCTATCCAGGGCCACGTTTTTGTAGGGGGTGACTGCCTATCGGCACCCAGGCAGGGGAGTCCTGTTGTTACATGGCTCTTCCAGGCGGACTTCAGGTGGTATTCTTTCTCGGCATTTTTTCCCCCTCTCCCGGTGCCTCGGAGCAGATCTTTAAGTCGGTGACTCTCTCTGGTGGACCCATCATGGCCCCGCGCCAGATGCAGCTCTGGCTCAAATCCTTTCCGGCTCCGCCACGCTGACACGCCACCACGCCTCCGTGATTTCGTCATCACCCAGACTCCACCGCTCGATGTTACGCTCGCCAGGCTTGCCAGGGTCATGCCGCCGCTCACTGTCCACGAGGAGGAGGGTGCCCCCTGCCACCTAGGGGCAGGTACCCAATTTATCTACTTGCATTATGCTTTCGAACCGCTGGGTGGGCGGGAGCTGGGACTAGGACCGGGAGCTCACCCCGGCCGCGGTGGGTCTCGAACAGCCTTAATGGCTGTTCACTGATGTTAAGGCAGGCGTTCTACTGCCTACGCCACCGCTCCCTTTCATGAGGAATGAGACGTCTAATGTTACCAGTATAGCTTCATTTGAAACCGGCAAGCCTTCAGTTTTGGTAATAAAATCTTTACTATCCTTTAAGTATGAAAGTATTTCTTTAGTTAGAGGTGGAAGAAAATAATTGATATATTTGGACGACAGCTCCAGAACCGAATTGAAGCCAGAGACTATGGGATGGCCAGGCGATGGCATCCCAGGTTTATGCACTTTTGGTAATATATAGAAAACAGATACTCAAGGAAACATGTTAGCAGGCTATTGAGCCACGGACTGATCAATATAATCAAGGGCTATCGCGTCACCAACAACCATTTAAATAATTCTTATAATGTCATCGGTAGGATCATGAGGGAACAGGTACATATGAATCGGTATCCTGCAAAAGTCTAGTTGTTGTTGTTCAGTCGCACAGTCGAGTCCGACTCTTTGCGACCCCATGGACCAGATCCTGCCAGGCCTTCCTGTCTTCCGCCGTCCTCTGAAGTTTGCTCAATTTCATGTTTGTTGCATCTGTGACACTGTCTAACCATCTCATCCTTTGCCGTCCCGTCTTCTTTGACCTTCAGTCTTTCCCAGCATCAGGGTCTTCTCCAGTGAGTGCTCCCTTCTCATTGGGTGGCCAAAGTATTTGAGCTTCAGTTTCAGTTTCATTATCTGGACTTCCAGGGAACAGCTGATTTCTTTTAGGATTGACTGATTTGATCTTCTTGCAGTCTTCTTGCAGTCCAAGGGACTCTCAAGAGAGTCTTCTCCAGCACCATAGTTCAAAAGAATCTATTCTTCGGCGCTCAGCCTTCCTTATATTCCAACTCTCGCAGCCATACATGACTACTGGGAATACCATTGCTTTGACCATGTGGACTTTTGGCAAGCCAAGGGAAGGTATGGGGTGTGGCCTGATATGCTAATGAGCTGTGCTCCCAGGGTGTGGCCTAATATGCTAATCAGTTTCTGGTGTTGGGTGTGGCCTGTTATGCTAATGAGTTCCTGCTGGGCTTTTTCTACCAAAAAAAAGCCCTGGTGACACTCATGAAGAGTCAGAGCCCAGAGATTCTCAAGGCTGGCTTCTCTCTCATTGAGATCCTGGGCCAATGTTAACATTTCCATATGTGGGCATTCTCCTCCAAGAATCCCCCATGAATGGTACCTAGTGTGAGAAAACTTTATCTGATACTAGCCCAGTCCTGAAATACTAGCCCATCTCAGGAGCTAAGTAGTGTCAGCCCTAGACAGTCCCTGGATGGGAGACCGCCAAGCAGAGGTCCTTTCGGGGGGGATTGCGGGGGATCGCAGTTCCCCCGGGTGAGGTATGGGGGGGCACATGACGAATCCCCGCCCCCTGCTTCCGGCCGCCCCGCTTCCGGCCCTCATTCAGCCAGGAGGAGGCAGGAGAAGAGGGAGGGTAAGTTGCTTCCTCCCTGCCTCTCCCCACCCCTGCCTGCCTGGGGCCAGGGAGGGCCTTCGCAGGGCTTCCTGGCCGGCGGCGGCCGGGACCGTTGGGGGCGGGGTGTGTGGCCTTATGACACACTTCCAGTGATGTCAGGGGGTGTGGCATATGCTAATGAGTTATGCTAATGAGTTCCCCCAAGCTCTTTTTTCTACGAAACGACCCCTGCCGCCAAGGAATACCTGGGTTGCTATGCAGGGGCAGGCAATGGCAAATCACCTCTGAGTGTCCCTTGCCTTGGAAACCCCACCGGGGGGGGGGTGTCACCGTAAGTCAGCCGTGACTTCTCGAGACGTCTCGACGCTTTCTCAGGCTACCGGTTCCTTTCGCATACGATTTCCACCAAGGCAATGGTTTCCAGGTGGGCTCTTGGGAGCAGAGACGGCAGAGCCTAGAAGCACTGTTCCCTCTAAGCTGAGTCGGTGTGAGCCAGCTCACAGCTTTTTAGCCTCCGGCTCACAGATTTTTGTCTCCGCTCAGGAAGGGATGGGGCTCCAGAGCAAACTAATTTCTGCAGCAGCCCAAAATCGCTCGCTCACAGCTTTAATGCCAGCAGCTCACAGACTAGAATTTTTGCTCGCGAGACTCCACAGCTTAGAGGGAACATTGCCTAGAAGTGGCCGTTCGATTGGGACGAGCGAGGAAGCGCACACAATAAACACCATCGGTCACATCCTGAGCCTCACCGAACAGTGTCGATTCGTTCTGTAACGGAGATTCGTCCCACTGGGAAGCCCAGTGAAGTGCCGTGCTCCGGCAAACGGTCAGCTGTACCGAACCGTGAGTTCTGCGCAGAATGTCTATCACCGTGTTGCGTGTTAGCCCAGACAGAAGGTTCCCGTTCACCTGCAAGCAACACAGAAACGTATGGCTTTGGTCTCGCTTGGGTCTTGTGGTTTTTCTTCCCCCCCTCTCTGTTTTGTTTTATTTCATGCAGCATCACCTGGAGATCCTTGGCCCCAGAGAACTGGGTGGGGGAGAACCGTAACCAGGGCTATTTTGGGGCAGGAACGCACAGGAACGGAGTTCCTGCTGGCTCCCGAGTTGGCCACGCCCAGCAGGAACTCATTAGCATAACAGGCCACACCCAACAGCAGGAACTCATGAGGATTGGCTACATTAGGGGTGTGTGGCCTAACATGCAAAGGAGTTCCTGCTACAAAAAAAAAAGCCCTGGGTTTTGACAACAAACAAGGTAAATGGAATAAGAAGCAAAAGGTTACTTCTGGTAACATGGGGGTGTGGCCTAATAGGCTAATAAGCTGTGCTGTCAGGGTGTGGCCTAATATGCCAATGAGTTCCTGCTGGGCTTTGTCTACCAAAAAAGCCCTGACTGTAACATTTGTTCAGGAAGGGTGGCTCCAGAGCAAACTAATTCATGCGGCAGCAGCCAAATCGCTCGCTTTAAATGCCAGCAGCTCACAAAGTAGAGTTTTCTCACAAAACTCCACGGCTCAGAGGGAGCACTGGTGAGGAGTCTTTTTTTTTAGCTTGCTTCCTGCTGGAAGTAAAGATGGAGGTTAACACACAAATAGGCCAGGTCTGGGGGGGGGGGACATTGGTTAGGCCCCAACTTAAGGCTGACACGATTAGTGCGGCTGTGCTAGATTAGCAAGCACACCGGAGGGGGGGGGGTCTACGGGCAAGAGAAAGGTGGCCCAATCAGATGTGGCCTGCTTGGCTGGGTCCAGAGCAGTGTCCCCTCTAAGCTGTGCATATGAGCGGCCGCTCATTAACACAGGACGACCTGCCCAGCAGCAATCTGGAGCCACTGCAGGATCTTGCACCGCCCATTGGCCTTTTTAAGAAGACACTGGTTAAATTCCACTCAGGGTCTGAACTGCTCTGCTCAGTGGGTGGGGAAAATGAGAAGGAACATTGGTCCAGAGTCCATGGAGGAAACTATTTCAATAAGCATCAGTCCGCTCCAGCTTGCACACTGGCCAGTATCAGCGAATGGTGTTGAGGGACAGCATCTCTGAGTACATTTTGCTGGAATAGCTATTTGCCACAAGCTATAGATGGAACACCTCTGTCTGGGGCAGTGATGCTCTGCCTTCTTGGTGCTGGGGGGGCAACAGTGGGAGGGCTTCTGGAGATCTGGCCCCGCTGGTGGACTTCCTGATGGCACCTGGGTTTTGGCCACGGTGTGACACAGAGTGTTGGACTGGATGGGCCACTAGCCTGATACAACATGGCTTCTCTTATGTTCTCTGAGGCTCCCAAACACTGGCAAACCCTTTGGGGCAGCCTCTTCAAGAAGGAGGAGGAGGAGGAGGAGATTGGATTTATTCCCTGCCCTTCACTACCCAAAGGAGTCTCAGAGAGGCTTAAAAATCCCTTTCCCTTCCCCACCCCACAACTGACACCCTGTGAGGTAGGTGGGGCTGAGAGAGCTCCCCTGAGAACTGCCCTCGAGAGAACAGCTCCGAAAGAACTTATGACTGACCCAAGGTCACACTGGCAGCTGCATGTGGAGATGTGGGGAACCAAACTTGGTTCTCCCAGATAGAGTCCCTGCTCCTCACCTTGACACCAGACTGGCTCTCTGCACTGGAACCTACACTAGATGGAGGGGAACGAGTTAATTAGCATTAACAAAGCTGAAAAAATGTACCAAAGTTGAACCTAGATTTGGTGCCTGGCCTCTTTCTTTTGGGGGACGGGGCAAATTCCCAAACACAGACCCCCCCCCCCGAGATTCTGATACCAGCATTGGTGCTAATGAAAGGCAACACTCAGTTCTGTGATGTGGTTTCGCCTGCCCTTGACAACAAACACGCGACAGCCAGCTGACCTTCCTTTGGGGCATGACAGAGAACAAAAGTGACGTTACCTTCAGTAAGATGTCGCCCACACGCAGTCTTCCATCACGATCGGCAGCGCTGCCGGGGCTGATGGCTTTGATCAAGATGGCCCGGCCATTCCTGCCCCCTACCAAAGCGAATCCCAGGCTGCCGTTGGCTGGTTTTTCCAGCTCAAGGTTGATAATGCAATCTGGCAGTGGAGAATAACTGTAGTTCTAAAGGGAATGAGTCGGCAGCCAAAGAAAATAATGAGTCACCATCTAGTCCAGCATCCCTTCTCACACAGTGGCCAACTAGTCTCTCTGGAGGGCCAACAACAGGGCAGAGAGGCCGAGGCCTTCCCCTAAAAAGAACATAAGAGGAGAGCCCTGCTGGATCAGACCAGTGGTCCATCTAGTCCAGCGTCCCCTCTCACTCAATGGCTAACCAGTTCCTCTGGAGGGTCATCAACAGGGCATAGAGGCCGAGGTCTTCCCCCTGCTGGATCAGCCCAGTGGTCCCTCTAGTTCAGCATCCCGTCTCACTCAATGGCTAACCAGTTCCTCTGGAGGGTCATCAACAGGGCATAGAGGCCAAGGCCTTAATGGCTAACCAGTTCCTCTGGAGGGTCATCAACAGGGCATAGAGGCCAAGGCCTTCCCCTGATAAGGACATCAGAAGAGCCCTGCTGGATCAGCCCAGTGGCCCATCTAGTCCAGCATCCCCGCTCACTCAATGGCTAACCAGTTCCTCTGGAGGGTCATCAACAGGGCATAGAGGCCGAGGTCTTCCCCCTGCTGGATCAGCCCAGTGGTCCCTCTAGTTCAGCATCCCGTCTCACTCAATGGCTAACCAGTTCCTCTGGAGGGTCATCAACAGGGCATAGAGGCCAAGGCCTTGCCCTGATAAGGACAT